ACGGGATACATTCTTCTCTCTGTTACCCTGGTGTGCAATTCCTTTGAATCCCTAGAGAGGAGAATTACTCGGTTTGGATCATGGGATTTTCAGAATAATTGCTGGCAGATGTATGAGATCTATGCATTACTGGGGTTCTTTGCATCAGTGTGGAAGCAAGCAGAGAGTAATGGGGATGTGCAAGGAGGGCCTTCCTAAGCAAAGGCATGGGAGACTAAGGGTGCATCTACACTGCACCCTAAACTCGAAATAAGATATGCAATTTGCACTATGCAAATTGCGTATCTTATTTAGATTTTATTTTGAAATTTGGCGCGTCTACATGGCACCAAATTTTGAAATAAAGCGCTATTTCGAGCCATGTCTTAACCCTCATGCAACAAGGTTTACAGGGATGACGACATAGCGTGTCCGTTATTTCAAAAAATATTTTGAAATAACAGGCACATTTGTTAGATATGGGTAAATATTTTGGGATACCGCCAAAATTCCCCAAGTAGCTGCACAATGTAGATGTACCCTAAATGACAGGAATTTCCAAAATGACTACAGTGGATGCCACGACGAGTCACCATTAGGGCGTCATCAATGTAATTACCCAGGGTAATTCTATAGGGAGGTCCTCCCAGCTAGGTGCTACCGTGGCAATTCTGACACAGCCTAAACCTCCTGATTCGCAGGCTATGCTGCAAAGCCTTTTTGTACTGTGGCTTTTGAGAAGGGGGTAGCTTAGAGAGACAGTAACTAGGCCAAGGAGAGATGGGATTTGTGAAACGTGACAGAGGATGGAGAGATGAACGGTCACACTGTCTTATTAGTTTAATTTGCACAAATTATTCATTTGCTACTGAAATGATGGGTGCTATTTTTAAACTGCCAAATGAACACTTATGAAAGGAGATACCCATGAGCCCTCAGTACATGTACAGCTTGGGATGCTTCTATTCCAGCATGCTCACAACCTTCCATAACACGCAACATTTGGGTTGAAACGTTTCATGCCTGGTGCCTTCCTCAAAGGTGAATTAGATTATGAGGAGGAGAAGTAGGGTATGTCTACACTATAGAGTTTAATCGAAAGAACAGAGGGGTTTTTCCAACATTGGTAATCCTCATTCTATGAGGAAGAAACCTTTTTCCAAAAGAACTCTTTCAGAAAAAGGCGTGTGAGGACGGGGAAGAGGAAGATCTTTCGAAAGAAGCTTAAAGAGGGAAAAGCACAATTGCCCTGGAGGCAACTCTGTCCATAGTATTCACAGCTGAAATGTGAGATAGCGTCCATTCAGTGTGGATATTATCTTTTGAAAAAGCAGATATGCTTTTTCGATGTGCTTTGGCAGTGTGAACGCTCTCTTTTGGAAGAAATTTTTTCGGAAGATCTCTTCCGGAAAAGCTTCTTCTGAAAGAAGCCTGAAGTCTAGACATAGTCGTAGAGTTTCAGGGAAATTCTTTTCTTCCCCCATTTTTGAGTTAGGAAAAATTGAATAAAATTAATCATTCCCCATTACAAAATGGTCAAACAAGAAATCTAATCACATTAGGCCAGATCCCAAGGACAGGCTCTCTTGTGCCTAGTGCAGTCCAGAGATGTCGGTAGCCACCAGGGTTGCTGCTAGTCACCTTAGGGACTGTCTGATCCTCAGACCGCTGGTCACGAAGAACAACTTAGAACAGCCTTAAGGGGCCATTCCTGCAGCTGGGGATTGCTGGAGTGCCATAGTGTCTGGCCACACTTCCTTTCTGTTGGCCCCAGCTTTTACAATAACAGAGGTGGGGTCAATAACAGAGGTGGAATAAAGATGGCTTGATACCATTCAAAGATTCTTTTCTGCTGAGTCAAACCTCAAAGAGCCATTTAGCCAGGAGTACAGAATCATAGACACATAGGAGCTAGAAGGGACCTCCAGAGGCCATCAAGTCCAGCCCCTTGCGCTGAGGCAAGACCAAATAAACCTAGACCATCCTTGACAGATGTTTGTGCAATCTGTTCTTAGAAACCTCTGATGACAGGGATTCTTCAGCTTCTTTTGGAAGCCTGTAACAGTGGTTAAATATCCTTACAGTTAGAAGCTTTTCCTAATGCTTAACCTAAATCTCCCTTGCTGCTGATTAAGCCTATTGCTTCTCGTCCTACCATCAGTGGTCATGGAGAAGAATTGCTCACTGCCCTCCGTATAACAGCCCTTTAGACTCTTACTGGGCCCTCCCTCATCTTCCTTTTCTCAAGAGTAAGTTTAAAAAAACAAGCAAACACCTTTTCCTCAGATATATCACGTTTTCTAAACCTTGTATAATTTTTGTTGCTTTCCTTTGGATTTACTCCGATTTGGGCACATCTTTCCTAAAGTGCAGCGCCCAGAATTTGAGCCAGTACCCCAGGTTGATGCCTTGCCAATGCCAAGTAGAAAGGGGACAATTACCTCCTTTGTCTTATGTAATAAACTCCTGTTAGTGCACCCCAGAATTATATTCACTATTTTAGCAACTGCCTCACATTGTTGACTCATATTCAATTTGTGATCCTCTATAACCTCCCCAGTCCGTTTCAGCAGTACTACTGCCTGAGCAGTTATTTCCTGTTTTGTAGCTGTGCATTTGATTTTTTTCCCTTCCTCAGTGTAGTAATTTGCATTTGTTTTTATTGACTTTCATCTTGTTGATTTCAGACCAGTTCTCCATTTTGTCATGATGGTTTTGAATTCTAATCCTTCCCTCCAAAGTGCTTGTAATTCTGCTTAGTGTGGTGAACACAGTGAATGTTATAAGCATACTTTCCAATCCATTATGCAAGTCATAATGAAACTATTTAATAGTTTTGGATCTAGGATAGACATCTGCAGCACTTCAGTAGATATTGTCTCCTCAATTTGACAGTGAACCATTGATAGCTATTCTTTAAGTATGGTCTTTTAAACAGTTTTGCATCCACTACAGTTCACATTTTCCTAGTTTACTTATGGAAATGTCATTTGGGACTGTATCAAAAGCCTTATTCAAATCAAGATATTTCACACCACTGCTTCCACCCATCTAGTAGGATAATCCTGTTAAAGAAGGAAGTTAGGTTGGTTTGCCATTGATTTGTTCTTGACAAATCCTTGTTGACTATTACTTATAACACAATTGTCCTCTAGAGTTTAATAATTTCTTGTAATATATGGATTCTGCTCACAGGTCCATAATTCCCCGGGTCTTCTTTTTTCCTCTTTTTAAATACAGGTACTATTTATTTACTACTTTTTAAATACAGGCCCTTCTCTAATCTTGTGGTACCATACCTGTTCTTCATGAGTTCTCAGAGATAATTGCTAATGATTGTGAGATTTTTCAGCTGGTTTCTTAAGTACCTTGTGATGCATTTTATCAGGCCTTGCTGACTTGAATTACATCTACATTATTTAAATATTCTTTAACCTATTCTTTTCCTATTTTGGTTGCATTCCTTCCTGCTTGATGTTAATATTAAATGTGTTGACTATCCGCTCATCATTAACCTTTTTAGTCAAAACTGAAGTAAAAGAAACTTTCTATACCTCAGCTTCCTGAGATCATAATTTATTAACTCTTATTACCCATTAAATAGAGGACCTACATTTTCCTTCATCTTTTTCTTGCTCCTAATGTACTTAAAGAATCACTTCTCATTGTCTTTTATATCCCTTGTTATGCATAACTTTCATTTTGTGCCTTAGCTTTTCTTAGGTTCTCACTACATGCTTGAGCTAGTCTTTTGCATTTGTCCATATTTCCATTTCCTGTAGGATTCAGTTTTGATTTTCAGATCATTAAAGAGCTTGTGAGGGAGCCCCACTGGATTCCTGCTATTTTTCCTATCTTTCCTTTGCATAGGGATAGTTTGCTGTTGACTTTAATACTGACTCTTTGAGAAACTATCAGCTGTCCTTGAACTCTGTTTTCCCTCATATTTTTCCCACCTGGTACATTACTACCAGTTCCCTGAATCTGTTAAGCCTCCTTTTCTGAAGTCCATTCTCCTTATTCTCCCTCCTTCCATTCCTTACAATCATGGGAGGTTGGTATAGGTAGGGCTGGGGGAATCTATCATTTCATAGTCACTGTCACCAAAATTGCTTTCCATTGTCTGTTATTTCGAAATAACAGAATGGCTGTATAGACGCTCGCATTTTTATTTCAAAATAACGCTAGTTATCTCGAAATAACGGTGCAATGTAGATGCACCCTTAGTGAAGTGCAAAGATGTCCACTCCTCTTGTGGCCTCTCAACACATTCTCCTTGCCTGACCTGAGGGGGATCCCACTGCTGCTGCCGCTGGGAGAGTGGGCACGAGGGGACATGTAAGAGTCATGTTACATTAAGTAGCAAAATTGTCCAGGGGAAATAAACCCCCCCCAAACCTCTCCCTTAATATCTAGGATAAGAAAAAGGTGCAGGTAGGTTGGGGTAGGAAGTGGATCCACGAACTCCTTCACATCCCTCTGCAACGGCCTTTGTGGTGCTGTGCTCCTTGGCACAAAAGAGGTGCAGACTCCTGGGAAGGCTCTTGCATGCCTTTTGCACTGGGCAGGGGAACTGCACCAGTTGTGTTATAGTCAGATCCTCCTTGGGCTGCTGGACCCAAATGTTAAAATCTATGCTGGTGTGACCTTACTGCTGCATATTATAACCACTGAACCCAGGAAAGGCTCAGCCAGCTGCCTCGCCTCATGGCATGGGTGTCTGGTTAAATGTATAGCTTCACCTATGGTGGTTTGTCCTACAAACAAAGTGTACAGGCTGCACAAGATGGCTGAGTGAATGCCGCTTTGAGGAACCTTAACGTCTGCATTTCCTGTCTTGTGATTATAACTGATGCAGTATTAAGGCTGCACAATGTAGTGATTTGCATTTAAATAGGAAAGGACTCTGCCTGCTGAGTGCACTGGGGACTGCAGGGATGGATCTGAACGGAAGGATGACTGGCTCCTACGACTTATGTAAAGGGGGGAAGCAGAACCCCTCAGATTCAACACACACTTGAACTCTAGATCTGGATATGACCTGTGTAGGAACTTTTATAAGAGCCACATCCTTAGCTGGTATAAACTGGTGGGGTTCTTTTGAAGCTCATATTTCCATCTAATCTCATCTCTCAGGGTATTTATAAGATGTAGTCACTGGGCACTAGGCTGGCTCACACACAAGAGTAGATGCTTCTCTGATTTTTATCCAAACTAATCAGACCAGCCAGCACAACACAGCTAGGCTGGAGATCTCATGAGAACAGCCTGCTAGGGGGATTCCTGGTATTTTATGTTCTCAGTTGGGAAGGAATCACTTTCCCTTCTGCAAAAAGCCTTTTTTTTTTTTGCATTTCAAGCTATGGTTAGAGCAGCTTTTGTGGTTATAAACTTAAAAAACAAGAAATGGTCTGGTAGCACTTTATAGACTAATGAAACATGTAGATGGTATCATGAGCTTTCGTGAGCACAAGCCACTTCTTGTCATAGCAGATCCTGGCTGCTGTACAACCATTGCATGACCTGCTGGCTAGCTCTGTATATCAATTTGTGGTCACTTCAAGGATCTTATTTTGCTGTTCTTCATCTCCCCCTTTCCTGGTCCCTGCGGAGAGGCAGTGCCACCACTTAATGGGACCATCTCCCATTGTGAAAGATCATTACTCTGCCTTGACACTGCTGACCTCATCTTCCTTTCCTTTATTAGTCCCTTACGTGCTGAGGAGCTGTGCTGAGTTCATTGAGACTCATGGCATTGTGGATGGAATCTACCGGCTTTCTGGAGTGACATCCAACATACAGAAGTTGAGGTAAGAGCACGGCAAAGTGAGATCTAGGGCATTGCTCAGAACCATTGTGTGGGACTAGTTTGGGAAGCTCATGTTGAATCTAGTCTTTCAGTGGTGTTGTGAGGGCAGCAGGGCCCAGCTTCGGTGCAAAGGAGACCAGTTTTAGGGACAACCGTAGTTCCTGAGGCTGGTAAAGACCAAAGACTAACTTGTATCCCCCAAAAAAGCATTAATGGAGTACTTTGGGGCAGCCCAGGGGTATCCAACCTCAGTTCCTGTATGTCATTTGTAGGATCTGTGAGTGGTCCTGTGTGTAGCCTCAGGAGACGATCTGGGCCAGAACTCAGACAAAGGAGGCAGATCTCTGCTTTACAGCCCATCACATATTTCTCTTTCCACTCTACCTGTGACAGACATCTAGGCACGGACTGTTTCCAGCTCTGGTTCTTCTAGGCTGCCACATCTCTTTCTGTGTTGTTTCAGGCAGGAGTTTGGCTCCGATCAATGCCCAGACCTGACAAGGGAAGTTTACCTCCAGGACATTCACTGTGTGGGGTCACTCTGCAAGCTGTACTTCAGGGAGCTGCCAAACCCCCTCCTCACTTATGAGCTCTACAAGAAATTCACGGTGAGTCTTTTGTTCACAGCCAGGCATGTGGATGTCTTTTGATAAAGATGGTTGGTTATGTTTTAGTCTCACTTTAATGTCTGGGGTTTGTGTGTGTGGGTTTGGAGACAGATCATCCTTCAGTGCTCGCATATAGTCCACTCTGTTTTATTTTGTCTGTTGCTGTCTTGCTTTTTTCACTTTGTTTCTTTCTATCCCTTCCCTGTTTCCCTCAGTCTCTTTCGACACATCTAAAGTTGAAATAAGCTACGCAACTTCAGCTACGTCTATTGCGCTGCCTAAGTGTAAATAGCTTAATTCGGCTTTTGGCGCTGCCTTTACAGCAGGAAGTCCGAGGTAGAGCACTCTTCTTCCGACTTCCCTTACTTCTTGTAAAATGAGGGTTACAGAAGTCAGAGTAAGACATCCTCCAGCTCGCCATTATTTCAACATTATGTCAAAATAACTGCTTGTAGTGGAGATGCGGACTGCTATTAGGTTGAATGTAGGGTGAGTGCAGTTGTGCCTAGACAGCAGGGTGCAGGTGTGGGGTAAGGATGCTTGCTAATCCCCTCTCCCCGTTTGCTTCACTCAGCATTGTGTCTAAGAAGGGATAGGCAGAGCTTTGAGTGACCACAGTGATTCAGACATTAGTTTCTCAAGATAGGCAAATTCTTCATGACCAGAGAGGATTAGCTTCTTACTCTCAGTGGTATCAAGTTTATATGCTCAGTGACCCAGCCATAGCATTGCTAAATGTTTAGCTTTGTAGTATGGCACTCCCTTCTCTTCTAGCCTTCAGCATTTTATAAACAAGTGGTGGATGATTGTTCTGAGTTGGTGACTTTGGTTGACTCTTTTTAACACTAATGTAAATGGAATGATTGCTCCATCAAACTAATTCAGCAACAGAAGGCCATACACCTTCTTCCACCCCCAGATTTACTCCACTTGCTAGACAGAGAGTAGGACGCATTGGGTACCAGCTGAGCATGCTCACTGTAGTCAGTGTCCTTGATTATGAAACTCCCTGTTTCCTTCCAAAATTTCTCCTCCCATTCACCAGGTGATAAGTGAAACAATCAGCAATTAATGCTACATTTGAAAACAATACATGAAGTAAAAGTAATTGGTGTTTCCTGGTATTCTGTATCCTCTGTTGCTTGACATTCTGAGTCTGTAATTCCACACTTTGAAGACAGTCCCTGGTTTTGTAAGCTATGCAGTGGTTTTCTAGCTCAGTTGGCTCAGAAGTATGGCTTTTGGGTCTGAGTCAGTCATAACTTCTTATGAGTCATCTTTTTCTTGCTTAGTGTTTCAGCTTCGTTTCCTAAAATCTAGAAATGTATGAGCCAAAATCTGCACTGGTTTACAGACATGCAATCCAGTTGAAGCCTAATGTTTCAGATTTACACCCAAATATTTAGCTACTTCTCCTGATCCATCTTTGATCAGAACAAAAATCCTGGAAACCTCTCACCAAAAGTGTAGGATTTATTGTACTTCTTGTCTATGGAATGATGGAGACAGGCAGTACTTCTACTGGTGGGCTGAAACGAAAAATAATCAGCAGAGATAGGATTAAATTGTAAGATTTAGATCAGGAGCGGAACTTGCAAGCATTTTTAGCTCAGTCCATAGCAGAGAAGGGGTTAGGCACGAAGCTCAGATGTGGGTTTCCTTAGTACCTCTCCAGTCCAGCACTCTCTGACAACATCCATGGTCCAGCATACTTTAAGTTTGTTTCTAGCCACCAATCCTGGCTCTCAGTGTTCTATGGTGTTATTTAGCTCGGTTTTACCCCTAAATGTCTTCTAAGAGTCCAGTAAGCAGTGGAAGTGTTGGTAATGCTTCAAGACAATATTGACCTCTTGTGATCTGGCAAATTCTCTGGTTTGCACCGGTCAGGTCCTGCGGGTGCTAGACTAAAGAGTTTCAACCTGTACTGAGAAGTATCAGAGCTGTTTTTTTTACCTGGGATTATCTCTTGAGCTGAGGCTTGTGGACATAAAAGATAAGTGGGGGGAATGCTAACTTCTTTGAACCATAGGAAAGGCTCAGTGTCTGTTTTGAATTAAGGTTAAGGTCAGCTCGTATTTAATCCAAATAAGACGTCCGTCACTCTCTCCATCAGATGTTTTGATGTTGGAAGGAGGCTGGTGGTAAATGGAGACCTGGCTTCTATCTATGTTCATTATTGCTACAAAGCCCTCTCCTCGATCATTTCCTGATTAATGGTATTTCAGTTGGACAGCCCATATGTATCAAGTCAGTGATGTTGAAGGACTGGTATTGTTGATCCTGGTTACCGTCTCAGTGGTGAGAGCATTGGTAACAATGGCAAAGTTATTGACAGATGACGTCAAAACGTTTTGCTGATGATTCTGTTGCCTGGTTTGGTAATTGAGATGTTGGTGGTGTATATGCACTTGTGGTCGTGGGCTGACAACAAGGATCAAGACACAGAATTCAAAGTTCAGTTCCCAAAGTTGGGGGCTGCTGGAGTCCTGACATGTAGTTCATGCCCATTTCTGGCAGGAAAATTGATAACAGTAATGTACATATGGTTCTGTACAAAGGATGGCTTGTAATGAAAAGAATAGCGACAAGAATAGTGGCAGCAGAATAAATAATGGGAATGCAGCGGTGACAGTGAAAGTGTTTCTGCGGCTGTGATTGGTGGTTTCAGATTAGTAATATTTAAGCCATGGATAGGTTAGGAACGGATTCATCTCAGTTCTAGCTTTGCTGTCATCCTTGTGTAGGCAAAGTTCCAATTGGCAGGAGTGGTGACCGGGTGGGGTCTTTGAATTCCTGTCATCCTCCAGCAGTAGGAGTGTGGGCAGGTGGATCCTTGAAGGCTTCATGTTATTCGCAAGTTCCTGGTGGCCTGTCCTTTCCTGTTGCAATGCTGAAAGGGAATTGCTGACAGAAGAGATGAACTCCAAGGGATGCAGATAGAAGGCTCTTGTATCCCTCTGAGCTCCTATGCTGCAGAGAACCGCCAGGCTAGTGGTGGCAGGGAGGTGCAAAGCCTTACGTTTTTCTCTACTCCACTCTAATAGCTAAGGTAGATGTTTGTTACTCAGCTGATGTAATTGTATTATAGGGATTTATCATTTTTGTAGCTAATCTAAAACCCCACATCACCATAGGAGCTGCTGTATTTATATACAGCAGATAACGATGCTTGTTTTTATTTATAAATTCCTTTCCCTTTCATCTCCATAAATCCCAAGTTGTTTTAATTTCACAGAGTTTAAAAAGAGCCCATTTATTTATTTTTCTTGGCCTTTTTAAAATAAGTTTAAATATTTTTCATTTATTATTTATAATTTCCCCTTCTTTTCCTTTCATTTCTTTCATTCCCCTCCCCGCTTCTTTCTCCACCTTATTCAATATTTTTTCTTTCTATTTTTCTCAAAATCATTGTTGGGGGAAATCAGTTTTCAAAAATGAGTGGGGGAGGGGGAGGAAAAAGAAGAAAAGGAAATAAATCTCTCAATTGATGATCTTAAAGTGTTTAATGAAGTAAGACCCAGACTTTTAGCCCTGAATGCAAGGAGACTAGGTGAGATGGGTAAGTATGGCTGTCTCAAGGTGAAGTGACTTGCCTAAGGTCTCACAGAAAGTCAGTGGCGGAACTTCCTACTCCTAGCTCTGTAATATAATGAGACTGTGCTCCTTCTGACACCTGCCAGGCCTCTGTGCATGTCGGTCTCTCTCTCTCCCTCCCTCTAAATCAGTGGTCCCCAACCTTTTGGGGCTGCTGGGGGGGCGGGGCTGCTCAACCTCTGCATGGCTGGGGGCAGGGCCGCTCACACGCCGTGCACCCAGGGCCGGCTCTACGCATGTGCCGCGCGCCCAGGGCAGGGGCCACCCATGCACCGTGTGCCGGGGCGAGGCCGGCACCCCGCTTGTTCCGCGTGCTGGGGCGGGGCCGGCCCAGATCATGCGGCGGGCGCACATAAACTCCCCGGCGGGCGCCATGGTGCCCATGGGCACCATGTTGGGGACCACTGCTCTAAATCCATCACCAAAATGGATTATTTTTTCTCTTTCCACAGGAGGCAGTATCTCGCTGCCCGGAAGAGGAGCAATTGTCCCAAATTCAAAATGTCATCCAGGAGCTTCCGCCATCACATTACAGGTAAGAATGCAACCTTTGAGGCTGTGGGGTTGCATGTGGGGGTGGCTTTAAGCTGCAAGAAATAGTCCCTGAAATAGTTTCAGCTTTGGGGAGAGGCTGAGAGGTGGGTTATTCATTGCCATCAAATTCAAGAGGCTCAATTCATCTGCCCTTTAAATAGAACGTAACACATCCTGGCTTTACATGTCAGAGAGATCAACCAGCCCTTTCCAGCTTCGTTCAACCTGGCTGTCCCTCACCACCACCATATGATGCTTAGCCCGTTGTGCAGTGCTGTCCAAGTGGTGGGGAGAAGGCAATTAAGCACATGCACTTAAGCATACAGTGTGATTCACAGCCATCATATGCATAGCAGCCCCCTGCTTCCTACTGTCCATTCTCCTCAAATTCCCACGAAGCCACCCCCAATAACAACGTCCATAGTGTTCTGCACTGCTGCTCATAAACCCTGACATCCCAAATTGCTGCTCTGGCTTTCAAGCGTGGTGTCCATCTTGCCAGTCTCATATATACAGATGATATAGACTGAAAGAGAGACTGAAACCAGCACCAAAAACCTCTTGAGCTAAAGGAGAATTCCATTAGCAGGTCTTACATGGTGGCAGACTGATGTAATCTCTTGGGGCTAGCAGCTAATGGGAGACTTGATCATATGTACAGGAGCTGAAGGCTGTTTCTTTATCCAAACCAAATGTTTTCAGGACACTGGAATACCTGATCAGGCATCTGACTCACCTGGCCTCCTTCAGCAACATGACCAACATGCACACAAGGAACCTGGCCCTAGTGTGGGCACCCAATCTCCTCAGGTACATAAGGACATCTTTTCACATTATTCTTAGGGCAGCAGTGCTGAGCTGCTGCTGGAGCACTGATAGTCCTGAGGGAATGCTGTGCCGCTATGTAATGCAGAATTTTGCAGAAATTAATGTGTATGCAGAATTTCCTTTCTCCAGCCGAAATGGTCTGCAGTGCTACTGTCCACTGCTACAGGCAGAGGATGAGGGAGGGAGAGGGTTCCTGGCAGCTGCAGAATGCCCTGATGGAAGGGGAGGGCAGCATGCAGGAAATATCATGCAAGCCTAGGACCAAGCATCCCTGGGCTCTGGGAAGGGTGGGCTAGGGGAGCCCCACAGCTGGGCTCTGAAAGGGTGGGGTTCAGGTGTATTGAATGGGGGAAACAGCTGGGCTCTGGGGGAAGAGTTGTGGATGTCTGGTCTCCCTGGATGAGTTTGGGGGTGGGAGAAGAGGCAGAGAAACAGGAACTGGTTTGCCATAGGGTTTTTTTAAACTTTCTAATCCTGGGGGGATATGTATGTGTGTTTGTATTGTTATAGACCTATTTGTTGACAGGTATTTTGAAATAGAATTATTTTGGAAATTTAACTGGCATGATTATGTAGTGCTCTTTTGACAAAAAAAAATTGCAGAATTTTAAACTGTTGTATGCAGAATATTTAATTTTTTTTTGTCACAGAATGCCCTCAACATTAATGTGAGTGTGAAACTGGCCAAACAATAAACAGAGACTGGCCAGGCATAGACTAATCCCTCTGGGAAAAATGTAAAGAAATAAATAGCATATATGATAGTGCAAAGTAAATATGATTTTAAAATTCTCCAACTTGAATAACCTGAGATTTTACTAATAATATTCAGGGAAGGAAATCTATGGATTTCTAAAAAAAGGGGGGGCTTTTTAACAGTGTCCCTTTAAAAATGTGGAGTTTCCTCATCATTATGGGATTGAAGCAACTGTTTTCAAAATATTAGTAGTTAAGTTTGATGGGACTGAGCAATGAGTGACTAGGAGAGATGGTGGTGCATGTTCTAGATCACCGGTTCTCAAACTTTTTGGGCTCTGGAGCCCTTTATATGCATAAAAATTTATGCGGAGCCCCAGCGGTCCACTGATTGTATGTGTTGTACCTATCAATGTCTCCAGATTGTCAGCCTTGCAGGAGCCCCTGGAGATGTCTCGCGGAGCCCTGAGGCTCCGCGGAGCACAGTTTGAGAAACACTGGTCTAGAGCTAGAAAACTTGAGTCCAAACCAAATCTGTTTTGGATCTGAAGGTCTTGCTAGTGGACATTAGCTAGTATCACAAGATATTTGTAATTTACTGTGCCTGAAGATCTCTGCTGAGAGCCAGTCCTGTTATTGGATCAAACATTGAAACTATTGAACACTGCAAAGTGGACATTTACAGCTCAGACTTTTCCATTCCAGATTCCATCCTTCTTGTCAAATTACCTGAAGTCTCTTTCCTTTGTAATGCAAGCCCTAGGGGGAGGACAAGAAAGAAGCAGGAGGTGCAATCTGCAGTCTCCATACATTATTATCCCTTTGGCAACGCCCCAAACTGTTATCTAACAAACTACTTGTTAACTTTACAAAGGATCCATTGCCCAGAGATAATTTCTTCAGTAACACTTTGGCATGTCAAGATAAGGAAAGTTTCTCTGCTGAGAGACTGAGAATGCAAGAGTGCTGGGGGGAGTGAAGGCAGGGTCCTGGACATAGAGGCAGTCATAAAAAATAGCAGGAAAAAGAAAACACCGGAGACATGAAATTCGGATCTGCTCTTGGTTTAGATGGGGTTCAGTTCTCATGGTTGGGCCTTAGATCCATCTTACAGGGATAAGTTCAAACCACAAAGATTGTAGCTCAATCCAGAGTCTGAGAAGATGCTGGTCCCAGTGTTCTGATATAGTGTCTAAAAGGAATAGAGAGAGAGGACAGACAGAGGGCAAGAAACGGACAATAGAAGGCAGGCAGAATGGTGGAAATAGAAGAAAAGATTTTGAGAAATAAAACTAGTGAAAATAAAAAGGAGAGTGAGGAAATGGAGAAAGCAATTCTGAAGGAAAAAGGAGAGGTGTGAGAGGACATGGGGAAAGAACAAAGAATTGAAAGGTAAAGAGAAATAAAAGATAGGAAGAGGGAAAAGAGCAAGATTCGGAACAACAGTGGGTAAAAAATTCCTGTTCCAGGGCATTCTTGCTGTACTAGGGAAAGGTTCCATCCATGGCTCACTGGAGAATGTCAAAGCAATTGTCTCCCACACATGCTGTATCTTGGGATACAGGCTTTTATTGTATTTATGGCTGCTCCCCCGCTGTGGTACAGGTCCAAGGAAATCGAGGCAGTCGGCTGCAATGGAGATGCAGCTTTCCTAGAGGTGCGAGTCCAGCAGTTGGTAATTGAGTTTATCTTGAACCATGTGGATCAGATCTTCAACAACAACATCTCGACCAGTTCCATGGAGAATGATGGTAATTGCCTCCCCTCCGCGCATGCTAACCCTAGCCACATCTCCTCCCACCAACACTTCAACCCTTCCTTTCTCATGGACACCCTCACATCTTCTCACAAGGACCTCAACCACACCTAACACTTCTTACCAACACCTCAAATCCTTCTCCTCCACATCCCCGATCTTTCCCTCCAAAACATAAACCCACCTTCATTCTTCTCACCAGTGCCCCTCCCTACACTAATCCCGACACCTCTCATCAACACCCTTCTCACCAGCATGACATTTCTCCCAGTCTCAATGCTGACCTTTCCCATAGCTACCCTCAGTATCCCTCCAACTTAACTCTTCTCTCCAGTGCCTAGGACCCTAAACCTTCCCCTTCTCATTGCAATGTCAGCAGTGGCGTAGTGAGGGTGTTACGTGCCTGGGGGCGGGGCAAAGGGAAAACTGCACCGAACTACACAGTGGGGGCAGCAGCGGCTCCTGAGCCAGAGTCAGTGGGCTCCTGGGCAGGCCTTTGAAGTGCCCGCTCCTGCCGCCTGGCCCTGCCTCATCAGCTTGTCTGCAGGGAGCAAGTGGCCTGGAAGCTAAATTGGTGCCCCCCTCGCTATGCCACTGAATGTCAGGCCTTCTTCAATTATAGCTCTTTGCACCCTTGTCCCCATTTCTATCACCAGCCTTCTCCTCCCTCTCCTTGTTATGTCTAATCCTAGCTTTTCCTGTCATCCAAAGTCATGGCCAAAACTACCGTTTGTGCTTGGCATGACATTCAGATCACACATCTCCAAGGGTTTGTTGCTTATAGGCAATGGCATTATTTCATAAACTGAGAATTTGTCCTGGACTTCAGCAGAGAGAGAAAGTACTGCCCTTGTTACCCAGAGGGGGGCTTGTAGAAAAAATGCTTTTAATGCGGGATCTTGATTCTGATTAGTCTAATGTAACCTCAAAAATAGGCAGCCTTATATTTTTCTAATTCCTTTTTCTTTTTAGTTGCACTTTAGTGGAATTTTAGCCCTTAAGAAAGGGAGGAGGGAACTTGCCATGTTGCGTAAGACACAGCGTGGGCAGTGGCTGTACAACCTCCTCATGCCCAGCTCTGCTATCCCCTACCAACCCTGACTTGTAATGTCCGCTGTAAGTCTGCTGCTGAAAACCACCTGCTCAGAGTTGCAGGTCAGGGCTGCAGACACCCTGCTCTTCCAGTGCTAACACAATGCCTGTGGCCTTCTCTTCTCCCACGGAAGAGATTCGGAGCCGGCAGAGTGAAGAATCCTGCCCTAGGATTATTTCACGGTGGCACAAATGTTGGAGCAGCGACTTGCCACCATAAAAAGTTTGGTGCTGTGTTGCAGAGCCTTTGCTCTCCAGGTCACCCATTCAGATCTGGCATGTTTTGTTAGTGACTGAACATTGTTGACTTCTAACAGCTGTGTGGAGTCCTGTGAGGGATATATCGATTGTCTTAGTCCAATTCTTAGTGGGGAAGTTCCCCTTTCACTCAACTACCAGCGCTGGCACTGGTCAATCAATCTTGTTTAGGCCACAAATTCACTAGACTGCAGAGGCTGAGCACCCCTCCCACTCCGAGAGGAGGTTGGCCCATGGGTGAGGCAGTGTGTGGGAAGCTGGTCTTGCTACTGCTTGGGTACGTCTACACTGGCCCCTTCTTCGGAAGTAGGAATAAGAGATCCTCCGGAAAAGGGCTTTATTCCGGAGGATCGGGCCAGTCTAGACGCTTTTTTCCGGCTTTTCCCCAAGCCGGAAAAAAAGCGGCGGCCATGTTTATTTAAATCCCACGGGGGATATTTAAATCCCCCGCGGATTTCCCTATTCCCACTTTCAAAATTAGCACGCCCCTTCCGAAGAAGGGGCCAGTGTTGACGTAGCCCTTGTGTAAACTGAGGCCTTCACACTCCATGGCTGTCCTGCCCTCACTAGAATTCATTTGGAAGGAAAAAATAATGTCACTGTTCAATCTCCCCCTCCTTCCAAGCAATCAGGGAGAAAGACTACAGAGTAGAGGGGAGGACCAGCTGCAGATTTGGCATCTGGGTTTGAACTTCCCCAAAGTTCAGAGGAATTGGGAATCAGGTGTTTTGAAGGGACACATCTTTCATACTAGAATAGTAATAGAAATGTAGCCGTGTTAGTCTGGGGTAGTTGAAGCAAAATGCAGGACAATGTAGCACTTTAAAGACTAACAAGATGGTTTATTAGATGATGAGCTTTCGTGGGCCAGACCCACTTCCTCAGATCAAATAGTGGAAGAAAGTAGTCACAACCATATATACCAAAGGATACAATTAAAAAAAAGAACAAATATGAAAAGGACAAATCACATTGCAGAACAGAAGGAGGAGGCGGGGGGGTGGGAAGGGGGAGGAAGGAAGGTAAGTGTCTGTGAATTGATGATATTAGAGGTAGGTAGTGAGCAGGGCTTTGCTGAGAGGCACTGCAGTCTGATGGAGAGGACCCACTGGACAAGTGCATCCCTGTGCAAGTGCTTTTCCCCCTGCAAGAAGTGACCCTGTGGAGAAAATACACAAGAACTTTTCTTAGGTGCCCCCTTCAGGGCTGGAATTTTTTTTTTCCTTTTCAGAGACAGTGCCCATTGTGAAGAGTCTGACCCTGCCCTCTACCTCTCTGCCTATGAAACTGGTGAGCCTGGAAGAAGCTCAGGCACGGAGTCTGTCAGCCTGCCATCCCGCCCGTAAGGAGAGACGAGAGAACAGCCTGCCTGAAATTGTCCCAGTCACTGGATCCTTCTTCCACACTGTCGTCGACCTACCCGACAGCAAGTATGTGCCCAGGGAAAGTTGAAATACAAACCGAGAAAAGCCTGTTTCTCCACAATCATGGGTTGGGTGGATCTGTCCCACTTTGACCCCCTTTCCCCAAGCCTCCTGTCCTGATGGAAGGAGAACATGTCGTGCCTTTAGTGATGCCCAATGGCTGTGTGCACCATTGGCTGAGGCAAAGCTAGGGAGAGCAGTGCCTTCGGCTGCTCCATGGCATGCTCAGTCCCCTTGGGCCTGCATCGTTGCTGCAGGAGAGCACAGGGGGGATGGGGAGTGATGATGCTTCCCGGTGAGCGGTGTGGGAAGGTGGGGGATGAGTGCGGAACATAATCTGTGGGTGGAGCACTGGGACCTGCCCCCTGCCCCTGCAGCTAGAGAGGCTTCACAGGTGTTGGCAGTGACCAGCTGTGTCCCACTGTAGTCATTTGAAATGTTCTGTGACCGACAGACAGAATGTTCCCCCTCGGCTTCCCCCACTCCCCTCACAGCGGGAGCCTCTTCGCCACCTATCGATGAACGTACCACCACCATCAGGGTTACTGTACTGCCCTCTCCAAGGAGAAGGGAGCAGTCTTTCCTTGCAAGCATCGAAAGTGTGACCATACAAATTCCCTCACGCTCCAGGTTCTCATGAAGAACTTCCTGTCTGTCAGGGTGGTGAAACACTGAAATAAATGGCCTAGGGAGGTCGTTGGATCTCCATCACTGGAGATATTTCAGAGCAGCTGTTAGCGATGGTCTAAATGGAGCTCAATCCTGCTGTGAAGGCAGGGGACTGGACTCGATGACCTCTTGAAGTTCCTTCCAGCCCTAGTCTTCTATGATTCTGTGCTTCCACCCTTCCTCTACTCTGAGTCACACAGGCCCACGCTGGAAGGCAGCTGTCTTGGCTTCTATCCGCCCAACCTGGTTGAAAAACATCTGTTGTATGAGCTCCACCTACTGGTGGCTTGCCTGAACAGCAGCGTGGCCATCTGACTAGTCCAGCATAATTGACTATGTTCTTTCGTGCAAAGAGCCGAGCTGCTAGGGCAAATAAGACTCCTGTTGTATTAATAAGAGTACATTGACACGGCATGCTACTTATTGCGGTGTGTAGAGTACACATCCTGCATGTCCCGTGAGCATGGGCATAACTAGCAGTGTAGATGCTGAGAAAAGGAATCACTCCAAAGGGGGGAGAGATAGCAGGGGAGTGCTGGAGCCTTTCTCCATGATCTCTTCCCTGACAGAGCCTTTCATAGACATGTAGCTACATACCACAGTGTGGACACAGCCTGCCTTTCACTGCATCGTGTATCTGCATGTACCCTTTGCTCCAACCCTGCCAGTAGTGTAGGAGTACCCTAAAAGATGTGTATAAGTGGGTACAGGTTTTGAGAGGAAGTGTGAAATCAGCTGACCTTGCTATAATTGGCAGGTAGATATAGATAGAGAGCATTATTAATCTAATCTAAGTAGAATATGAACATTGGAGATTTGCTAATCTAGTGACCCATAAGGAACCTTAGCAGTTCATATAGTCACAGCAGAGGACTACCCGCCACAGAGAAGAGGTACAGAGGCAGCCCACTCCCCAAATAGGATACCTCACACATACCCCTAGTGTGACCCCTATCCTCGCCTTATCAAGGGAATGGACCACAACAGAGGGGGCTCTGTTCCTCTAACATCCTCTTCCCGGTAGCATACTGATAGTCAAGAAGGGTTGTTGAGGGTGAGATGCAGGGAGCCTGTGTCCAGCAACAGGAGGTGCAAAGAAGTTTCTTGCACCCAAGGAGGTGGGAGTGTTGGAAGGAGAAGACCAGGCTGATGCTTTATAAACAGAGTGAGTAAGGCAAGGAGACGAAGACAAAGATCCACACGATAACACATACAAAGGAGAATATGCATGAGATATGGTGCTTCTGACATTTTACACTGAGCTTTTCAAAGGGGCCAAGGGAATGAGTGCCCAGCTTCCATTGAAAGTCACAGATTTGTGGGCCTAACTCCCCAGGGACCCTTTAAAAACCTCTGCCATAAGGTTTTTATAATGTTTGCCTTGCAAAACCCAAAATTAAAAAGAGAGCAGAAGCCGAGGGGAGTGGGGAAGACAAGGGTTTCTGTGACACACCAGGACTAGTGTTCAGCCCTGGGTACTTGGCACTAATCTCATCTGCATTTTCTCTTCCAGGAGAAAATTGTCCAGCAAATCCAAGAAATGGAAGTCAATATTTAACCTGGGCCGGTCTGGATCAGATTCAAAGTCAAAACTGAGTCGAAATGGGAGTGTGTTTGTGAGAGGGCAGAAACTCTCTGGTAAGAGCCAGCTTGTCAGTTAATTTCCTCTCTCCACCAGTAATCGCTCCTATCCGATGTGGCAGCGATACAATATATAACCTGGTGATGTCCGTGCTGCAAGAATTCAGATTTGGGGTGCAAGTCAGATAAGGCGTCTAGAGTCAAATAGGTGGCCAGATTATAGTTAGTCACATCATAGGCCTTTCATTTGAGTATGGCAATGCCAGGCAATGAGAGCCAGGGACCATCAACCCAGAACATTCCGTTGTGATGCTGGGGTGAATACACCTCGTTGCCTAGCACCCTAATCTGGGTCTAGGAGGTACTTGGTACAAAGTCCCAGTTCTACAAAGCTTTTTAGTCTCAGGAGCCTAAATACCATGGAAGATTTGGGCCTTAAGTGTTGTATTGGATGGCTTGGATCCATGTAACACCCTGGAGTGGATTTAGGGGGGAGCTGCACTCCTGAAAGTATTATCCCTCATAACTTGGCCATGTGCCATTAGCTAACACGCTCCATGTGATACTGAGATAAAGGCTGTTCTGTGTCTACAGGGCATTAAAGAACCAAAGTGTCTTTGTAGAAACTGGTATCATGAGTTCCCATGTTTGTTGTCTCTTGGTATTTTGATAAGATCACATTTGCAGAGTTTACAGGAAAAAAGATGTTTTTCTTAATGACCAGCATTAGGAAACTCTAGATTCTCCTGCACTGAAATGTAATCATTATTGTGCTTCCTAGGAACATAGCCAGTATTGCCAAGCCCAGGGGTTAAGCCCCATCCCTCCGCTCCCCTCCCCCCCACTCCTGCACCAAAATAAGGAACTTGGTTTAAAAATAAGGACATTAAAACATTTGAGGTTCTTTTTATTAGCTGACCATTGTTGGAGCCTTAAGGGTTCATTTGTTCAAGCTTTCTGTGCTATCATCATGGCGAGAAACATGTTTTTTCTTTCTTTCTTTTTTAAGACGGGATTGAGTCTCACATAATATCATGAATCTAGGAGGTGGGGCATTACGAAAAAATCTTAGTAACAAAAGTGTCAATAAACTTACTCGAGTTGCCAACATTGCATACCATTTCTATGGCTGGCACTGTATAAGAATTAGAAATTTAGATCAAAATTCTGAAACCAAACCCCCTTGAAGTTTGGGAGAGTTCGGATTCTGTTCCAAACTTCAAGGCTGTGGCTCATCTCTGACAACATACTTGCACTCCTGCAGTCACACCCATCCTGAGTGATTTGCATATGCAGTCCCAGGTCAAATAGGAAGCCTATGACAACTCTTAGAATAGCTCACTATTTCAAGCACAAGACCATCCAACCTTTCTGATAAGGAATACTTTCAACATGCTACCATCCCAAACCATTCAAGGACCAGAGCTGCAATGTTCATTTCAAGGCCTGGCCTCTCCCAAAATATAAGGGTGTTGTTGGAGCCTGGGGCTCTTTCTAGGCCCAGCTTTATGCTAAACAGTGCACTGAGATCAGGCTGCTTCCTGTTAAAAAGGAGACACTAGGGGTGCATTAACATTGCACCATAGCTTGAAATAAGATATGCAGTTTGAGCTACACAAATTGCATATCTTATTTCGATGTCATTTCAAAATAGCTTATTTCAAAATTTGGCACTGTCTACACAGCACTTATTTTGAAATAAAGCGTATTCTGACACGTCCCTTACGTCTCGTGGAATGAGGTTTACAGGGATATCGGAATAGTGAGCCCGTTATATTTCGAAATAACGGGTGCGCTCAAAAGATGCGGAATAGACGTAGCCTAAATGTCTTTTCACTGCCTTAACCCACCCTCTGGTCATTCTGTTGGCTTTAATTATGCTGTGTTCTCCAGTTAGGTTGTAAATTGACAAGTCCCAGGAGCTGACGTAGGTTTCTAAACTTAATTTTTCCACAGAGAAAGCAACTATTCGACCTGCTAAAAGCATGGACTCACTGTGCTCCGTGCCTGTAGAAGGTGAGACCCCGACAGCCTATACCTAGGGCTGCCAAGCTATGGGACAGGCCTGTGAAGTCTTAGCTCTCACATGTGTGTGCATATGTGCTGCCAGGCTCTTTTGTTTCTATGCATGCTCACTCACCTATGTGTGTGTTTACTTTTCTCTGAGTATTGCATGCTCTTGTGTGCTTCCATTGGATGTTTCGACATGGCCATGCATTACCATAACTGTGTGCATGCTCTCTGCCCCATCTCTGTGCCTCTATGTTGGCATATACCTCTGGGCGTACTTGTATGAACAATCTGTTACCAGTACAATGGGCTTCATTCAGTTCTGCATTATTCCAGTGGGAATGAGGTCCCTATTTGTGCCTGGAAAGAGGATGAGGCGGTGCCTGGCACCTGCAATCACTTAGCAAGGCCCAGATGTGGCTGATTGACAAAGGCACACTGGGATGCTTGGGACCAGTGAGAATCCTGGACAGTTCCCAATGGAGGGGATTCTGTCTAGCTCTAGCTACCTGTGAGAGCTGCCCTCTATGGGTAAAGTGGAGTCCCTGTGGGAGAGGTCTGAGGGGTGTTCCGTAGGCCCTGTCCCTGGCTTGTATTGGAGATACTGATGGTCTGGGGGTGTTCAGTGGGGCCCACCCTGTCTCCACACATGGAGGAAGGCTCTCTGATGTCATTGCTCCCTTTGTTAATTCTGTTTGTCCCCTCTCCGCAGGGGAGGATGAGACAGGCCGGTTCAAACGCACTGTCGCCGCTGGCGGGTTTTTCATCCCAGTGATGAAAACGCAGACGGGAGGCGCAAGCAGCTCTGGCGACCTCAGCAAGAAGAGTGATTGGGAGTGTGAGGGGCTCCCAGCGGGGGCGGAGGGCGGCTCCGAGCTCAGTGGGGACAAAGCTGCCCCCAGGGCCGCCCAAGCGAGACCGCCCCCTGAACAATTGAAGGTGTTTCGGGCCACGGAGGACCCCGAGAGCGAGCAGACCTCCCCAAAGACATGCCGCATGTTCTACACCTCCGACACTGCTGCCAAATCAGGCTTCCCCAGCAGCCTCTTCCCTTTAGAAGCCTCTCCTCGGCACCAGCGCAAAGCCCTGAACATCTCGGAGCCCTTCGCCGTCTCCGTGCCCCTTCGGGTGTCTGCAGTCATCAGCACCAACAGCACCCCGTGCCGCATGCCTGCCAAGGACAAGCCTGCCCTCTCCAGCCTGGAGGAATCATCCGCTCTGGGGCCGGACAGCACCACTCCCATAGCACTGGAAGGGGATGGCCAGCCCAGGCCTGAACAGACCACAGACTGGGAGGAGAAGCAGCCTAGGGCCGAGGCTGCAGCAGGTAAAACTAGTAGAGGTGGGCAGTGCCTAATCCCAGCAATGAGCTTGCAGGGCTGTGGGGTGGCCCCTGGTAGCGGCCCAGGTCCAGGGTGGCCATTTCATCCAGTGCAGTCAGCAAAGCCATGGGGAGATGATGGGCTCCCAGTGGACCACGTGGGACAAGGAGACGCTCAGTGGCCTCCAGTGCGTGGGCATTCAGGGGACAAGTGCGGGGTGGATTGTTCCACAGGGGTAGGGGAATGGGGGACTCAAGTTGTAGGAACTTCCTGACAGCAGTGCCCAGTCCATGCTGGCGGGGACTCTAAGCAGTGTACTGAAGAAACCTGGTTTTTATCCATTAGAATGGGTTGAACCTAACCTGGGTCTTTTATCTCCGTGCGCTGCATCCCCTGTCTTGCGAGAGGGTTATGTTGCTGATCGAAGTTTCTAATCCAGGTTCTACTACTGAAGAACTGATGGCAGCTAAGAAGCCTGAAGTCTTGGAAACTCCAAAGGCAGCAATGGAAAACCAGGAAGTATTAGGCGTTGGCAGCAGCACCAGTGGCAGGCATGCCCCGGCGCAGAACCCTGACTTAAAACAGACACCGGTATGCCCGGCAGGCCTGCATTCAGCAGGGGAGATCAAGCAAGGCCAGCTCATGATGCAGGAAAACCCCACAGAGGGAGACAGCCAGCAGCAGGAGACACCAAGGGTTAAAGGAGAGGAGGCCTTGTTTCTGAGAGAGCTGGTAAGGAGGAGGTTTGAGGGAAGGAATAGCTATTGCCTCAAAGGTTCCAAGGGAGATGGAAGTATCCTCCTCTTGCTAGGGACTGCTATTGGGGCCTGGGAAGCGCTGCATGTGAGTCAACATTTGAGCAATCTCATGCTGTGAACTTCATATGTAATATTGGCTAAGAAGAGCTTGGGTTGGCCAGGTGTTGATTGACCTTCTCTATTCTGTATGCAGCTGTCATGTCCTCTCTTACCCGCTGCTTAACTATACCCTCCTGTTGATACTTTCTCACTCCATCTGGAAGCCTCTCCATATGACTAATCCTTTTGCCCCTCCTCCCCCTACTTCTGCCATATCCTATATCAGACCTGTGATTTTCCCAGACATTTCTGGGGTCACTGCTGCACACCGAGTGGAGTTTTCCACTGAGTCACTCAGTGATCCCAGATCTTTCATCAGAGTGGTTACAGATGAGCGGCACTCGGCAACATGCATGAGTAGTTCCAATTATTCCTTCCAGTGTGCATCTGGCATTTCTTTATCTCACGGGGCAGGGTGGGAGGCAGTCTGAGGAATTGTAGATGTTGTTTCTCAGCTAGTTCACTTTTGGGCCCTTGCCACCAGACCTGAGTCCCAGCCCTCTCCCCGCCCTCCCCATGAGCTCCTCTGTAAACCTATTTGCATAGAAGCATAAGCAAGGGAGCCAGTGTGGCCTCGTGGACAGAGAGCACTGGACTGGAACTCAGGAATTTAGAGTCTCTGTCAATGATCTTCATTGCCCGGTGCCTCACGTTTTTCCTACTCCCCATTTACAGATCCACTCTGAGATCCACTGATGAAAATGCTGTATAGGAGCAAGGTGTTGTTTTATTTAACCAGATTTCTGGTGGCACAGGTATGTGTGCCAGCGTTCCAGCTAGCCTGATACTATTCCCAGAGGGCACTTGCAGGCAGCATTGTGGGCAGAATGCAGATGGGCACATGGAGACTGGAATGCTTGCTGTCAGGTTATGACATTTCTGGTGTTTTTCAGGCTGAAGATGATGCTGCCAGTGCCCTGCTGGAACCGCTGTGGCCGGAGATTCAACAGGAGCTCAGAATTATCGAATCTGAAGAGGAACTTTCATTCCTGCCTGCAGAAGTCCCCAAGACAAGCCCTTCTCAGCAAAGAGTGCACTCAGCCCTCACTCCTGAATCCTTTGCTTCATCCCAAACAGACGGCATCTCTTCTGGTGATGTGCTTGCCATGACAGTGGCCAAACAGGAAACTCCAGCCAGAACCCCCCAGGTCACATCTCAGTTGCCTTTATTTGATGCCACTTCCAAAGAAATAGCAAAGGAGCCAGGTGGTCTCCAGGGTCATAAACCTGAAGTGGCAGCACAGTGTGGCTGTGCTCCTCACACACCCGAACTGGATACTGCCCTGCCTGGGACAGCTTCTCCAAAGAACCATCTCGTGGCGCAGGATATCAGCAGTGATCTTCTGCCTCCTCACCAAGACCAGAAGCTTTCTGATGAGCAGAAGCTCATTGAGAATCCTTTAAAAGAAAATGTCTCAGATACCAGAGAACACAAGGAAGAAGGCAACACTGCCCTATTTCCCAGGGAAAAGGATGGCGTTGCTGGAGGCCAGGATGGAGTCCGGATCCAGCAGGAGAAGCCTGACGGAATGACTGCAGGAGATGGCCAGATCTCATCCCACAGGGCAAGTGGAGCTGGAGCTCAGCAGCCCAAGGAGGGCAGCAGGGCTAAGAGAGCCCAGGACTCTTTCGACCATGAAGAGGAGGAGGCAGGGGCAGATAACGTCCAGGGCTTTGAGCTGGTCGAGCCCTGGGAGGATCACCAGTGGATCACCAGCCCGCTCCATTCCCCCACCTTCAAGAGCCTCCAGGAAAAGGCAATGCAGGACTTTCAGTCACCGAGCTACAGCGTGGAGAGGGGCTTTTCCGCTAGGCCACGGTTCAGTCGCAGCTTTTCTCTGGATAGCAAAGACTTGATGCTGAGTGTGTGGAGTATCCAACCGCCTTTCACGAGCGCAGCTGAAGAGCGCCCATGTAGTGGCCCCAGCTCGGGGACCAGGGAGCTTTTAGAAACGCAGCCAATCTCACCACTCAGGCCAAGCCACCTTGAGCAAGTGGAGACCGGTCTGAGTCCTCGAGAGGCGTCTTTAGAGCTAGAGGCCTCAAGTGATGCCCTCAGCAGCAAGACAGAGCCTGCAGCAGGGAGGCTGCTAGCCAGCTGTGAGGAACTGTGCACTGCCCCTCTTTCAGAGCCAGGGGAGAAGGAGGTGGGTGGCAGCAAAAAAACCCCTCAGGACTTGATGCCTGAGCTGCCTTTTCCACACTGTAATACCCCAGATGGATTCTTGCAGGCAAAGAAACTAGATGAAGATCCATCCAGGCCTCAGGGCGCTCCCCCCACAGGAGCTGCCCTCACCCAAGGGCTGCATTCTGCCAACGAGTCGCAGCTGAGTAACAACAAAAACGAAGACGTGCCCTGGAAAGTGAGAACTAGGCCATCATCTCTCAACTTGGAGTCGCTCCTGCCCACCCCTGATTTCTTCATGTTTGAGACCCTGGGTGTGCCCACCTCGCCTGGAAACCCCCTGTGTGTGCAGAAAGAAGTGAAGAGCAGCGATTCTGTCCCGTCACTGCCTTCTGCCTACCCTGACAGGAACAAAGGCAACCCCTGGGGTTCGCACTTCGATCCCCGGGAGCTAGACCTGGATTACATGGCAGTGGCCCATGCTGCCACTGGGCGTCGTAACTCTGCCCCTGTGAGTGTGTCGGCAGTGAGGACCTCTTTCATGGTTAAGTTGTGCCAAGCCAGAGCTGTGCCAGTGATACCTCCCAAGATTCAGTACACACAGGTCCCACAGCCGCTACAGACTCAGAACACGGATCGTGACATCCCTGCATTGCTGGGGAAGAAGGAAACAGAAGCCCACTCAGCCAGCAGGCAGCCCCACCGAGCAGCTTGGGAACAGCTGGAACCCCCAAAGAGCCCTCAGGTAGAGAAAAAAGCCAAGGAGGAGAAAGAAAACAGTGACCCAGCGCAAATGGGTGCAACATCTTCTAGGCAGGGCAACCTTACCCCCCTGCCAGATCTCTCCCTCTCCAGTTGTAATTCCACCCAGGAGGCACCTGTGCTGCGCCGAAAGCGCACTTCAGAGGGTGAGACCGCGGGAGACAGCCCCCAGTCCTCAAAAATGGAGAGGCCATCAGGGATTTCCAAGCCTTCCTACAGATCCAGACCAGGAAGGCCTCAGAGCCTTATCCTCTTCAGCCCACCCTTCCCCATCATGGACCATCCATCTTCCTCAACAGACTCCAGGGTGCTGTTATCACCCATAAGAAGCCCCTCTCAGATCAACTCTCCAAACACCATTTGTGGCGAGCTGTCAGGGAACCTGCAGATAACGCCTGAGGGGGTCACTCTGCGGAACAAAATGACCATCCCCAAAAATGGCCAGAGACTGGAGACCTCCACCAGCTGCTTTTACCAGCCCCAGAGGAGGTCAGTGATTCTGGATGGGAGAAGTGGGAGGCAGATAGAATAACCCCTGCAAGCTCATCTCACCCCTCTTCCCTGGTGGATGAGACAGCAGTGCGTGCCTTCCTTGAGACCAACTGTGCTATTGTTGTTGTTATGATTATAAATATTCTATGCAAGAAGGACACACATCCTTTATTTCTTCCTCCAGAGCATTTTGTTACTGATGTTCTTACTCTCTTTGTCTCCCTTTCTCCTTTTCTTGCAACCCCATGTTCTTGTTTGGAAAAAATCCCAAATAAGTTTGTTTTCTGCCGCCTTGTTTTCTAACGTGAAAGACTCACCCTTTAACTGAAAAAACAGTGATGGTCCTGGGTATGGTGAACGGGAAGGAGGTAAGATCAAATAGGTACATTTTTCACCCACCCTCAGGTGATGATGCAGGACTAACTGTCCAGCCATCCTGCTTTACTGCTTTGGGTAGCATCAGCAAACTGCAGAGGTGAGTGGTGATAGCTGAACATGGGAAGGTAAAGCTCACCTGTAAAGATCACACAGTTTGTTATCCTAAAGAGATTCCAATGGCAAACACTGCCTACACTGCCTACAGCTGTTCTCTTGTAACACAGACCTGCTGCCCCTGAATGTGCAATGGCTGGAATGAAGGTGCCCGAATAAGATAGGTCCAGTTTTCCTTTCAGCTTCGTGATTCCCATTTGCCGGGCTGTTCTGCATCAGACCCCCCTCCTTTATTTGATGGGCAACATTTGGTTGGGGGTTGGCTTGCACCTGCCACACTGGTTGCAGTGTGGTAGGGGCCATACAGGCTTATTTGAGTGAAAGGGAGGTTCTGGCCAAACAAAGGACGAGATTATCAGTCTTCACCATCACCGAGGGCTTACTTACCTGTTCACAGCATTCCTCAGTCATTCTCCTCACCCGCAATTGCACAATAGGATCCCAGCAGCTAGACAAGTTCACTAGAACCCTCTGATCAGCCCACCTTTGGTCAATGCCCCCACTCCTCCTGATTTTCGTGTTCCCAGCCAATGGCTCCTTGCTACTTTTTCACTTCGTGTTCCTGAAATTTCACTAAAAGCCTGTCTGACTTTCACCTCCCCAGCCGTTGGAGCCTTTCAAACTGATTAGTGGGAATGTGGTAGAGAGGATGATTTGTTGTTGCACAGAATGAAGGAGCAATATACATGATATCCCAGGAGGGAATTCAGTTGAAATTAACCTGTCTTGAGAGGTTGTTGTCACTACTGTCCATAGGTAGTCACACAGGGGCAGCTGCCAGAGGAACTGGATTATGGCTTCTGCTACAAAGTCTTTGACTTAAGGTTAATTGCAGGCTCATCTGTCAGCTGCTGCTGTGCAACCAGAGGCATGTGCATGACAATGTACTATTCTCGGTGTCTCAGCACTTAGAATATCACTAGTGACCTTGCTCTAGAAAGGGATACCAATATTGATACAGTCCTAGTAATGATGTCTGTGAGGGCTATTCTTACCAGTCCTAGAACTCATACTCCCTCTGCTAGCTAGCATGGGCTAGGAAGAGTAACTGAGCAGATGGAAGGGCAGAGCTGTGGCTCCCATGGCCCTGACTATCAGGAGATGCTCCCATCCGGAGCTGTGAATTCACTCACATGTGTTAGTTGTCTGTATTTAGATCTTTGTTTGAAGGCACCTTTATTTTCAGTGCCTCAGGTGAAGTGGCCACTGGTCTACAAATCCAGCCAATAGAGCTGTTCGGTCTGGGTGGAGAGTAAACGTCCGTGTCGTTGGCCTGGTTGTGACAAGAGATGTGGAGGCATCAAGAACTTAGGGATGATTCCCCATCCCCTGGCATCCAATGTTGTTATTTACTCTTGTGCAAAGCGAAGACAAATGACCAAATCAGAATGCTCTGCCCTTTGACATCATCTTACCTTTTGGCTCTGGCTTTGCCCGGACATAAAAGCCCCCACAGGGAGCAAGGGGGTGGAGAATCAAATCCATAAAGTCCAATGGGATAGTAGTCTGGAAAGAGCTTAGAATCCTCACCCAGTTTCAGGCTTTCCCATGGACTTCATCGGTGGTTTTACTTGAGTAAGCTCTGCAGGAGCTGGGCCTAAACATGCAGCCCCACAGCAGCGATCACTTCCTGCTCCCTGCCTGTGCAAAACCCTCCACAGTCCCCCACTAAACTAAGGGCATAGCTAGTTCTCCAGCTTTTGTTTAATGCCATGCAGTATGGGGCTGCTTTTATATATATGCAAGTATCCTTGGGTAGCTCCTCTTGGGTGGAGGCTTTAACCATTGCTGCAGAGTTAAATGGTGGAAATGATGCACCCAGGTTTGCACCTGCCTTATGCCAGGTATGCTCCCTCTAGGTAATATTCCCCTGGTTTGTTATGAGAAAGTCATGTGAGACGATATCAAAAGCTTTACTAAAAATCAAGGTGTACCATGTCTACCACATCACCCTTAACCACAAGCCTTTTTACGCTGTCAAATAAAGCTATGAGGTTGATTTGACACAATCTCTTCTTGACGAATCTACCTATCACCTTACCTGGCCCCTACCTATCACCTTATTATCTTGTAGGTGTTTGCAAATTGATTGCTTAGTTATGTGCTTCAGAGAGCACTCGGAGATAGTCCTGTGTCACAAAGTTTGGATCAAGAAGTTCTGCAGAGTTGGGAGGATTTAGATTAAATGATCCATGTCATCTGATTGTAGAACTGAGCCCAAGTCGCCAAGTTCAGCTCTGGAGACAACCTTCCCCCAGAGTTCATGAAGCTTGGAACTGGAATCAGTTCAGATGTGTTGCTTCTAGACTAGAGAAAAGGTCCAAGCTATGCTGTAGGGTTGGTAGTACTGTGCAGTTGGTAGTACTGTGTCTAGACTAGGGAACTGCACTGTTGCAGCTTACCCTGGTGCAGCTGAATCATGGTAGGTTGTAACAGTGCAGCACATTTGTACTAATTGTCCTTTTTTTGGGTGCATTTCTGCTCCATGTCCATGTGCAGCATATCCTGCACCCTTGGAACAGCATTCGTGGGAGAGACATCCATCCCACAATTTAGGGTCTTCCTAAGTGTGAAGAAGGTGCCTATTGCCTGGTTTTATTAGCATGAAAATGCTTTTCCTAACTAAAGCATAAGGCTGCAGTTGCAACCATCCTGGGAAGAGTGTGAGGGCCTCTCTTTTAGCATTCGCAGGTGGCTTCTGATGCGCAATCCTGATATTTCTGTTGGCTCAGGAGATCGAGAAGAGGGGACAAGGAATACCCAGAGGAGGCACCTCCCATTCCATAGAGTGCAAGGAGGGGACACATGCAGCTCCCATTAATTGCAGGGTGTTGGTGGATATGGAAATCACCTGGCTGAGTGGGAGTGGCGTCGGATGAAGAGGAGCTGGGTTTGGGAGGTCACCTATAGGTTGTGTGTTGTGGAGGTCAGCTGGCTGAAGGAGAGCGATGCTGAATGTTGAGACCACTTGGCTGAAAAGGAGGGATATTGGTGGGGGGGTCATCTGGTTCCATGGTAGGGGTGCTGATAAGCATAGGACTAACTGGTGCGGTCATGTTCTTGGAGACAAACAGAAGCTAGGACTATACATTGTATGGTAAACTATATTAACTTAGACTGTCCATCCCATTCACTCCTTTTGCAAAGGGTGAAGCACTTTGATGGAGTCTTGCAGCACGTTAGGGCTCTTGGAGGAGGTAAGGTCTGCAACAGACACCTACAACACAGCCTGCCGTGCCAGAGTCCAAAGTGCAATCGAAACCTTTTCTTTCTTTAGATTGTAAAATGCCTGTACTGATAAATACTGTGTTAAATTTATATATATATATATATATATATAAAAGAACATTATATATAAATATATTAAGTGTAATTAAAAATGAAGGAAATGTCTAAACAGATCCATCACATCTGTGAAACTTGGGCTGATGTACAGATAATGTTTTCCATTAAAATTTCTTTACTGCTGAGAAATGTGAGCTGGAACAAGTTATAACCAGCACAGGAACAAGTTATAACCAGCACAGGAAGGTCAAGCTAGATAAGTTTTATTGTCAATCATGGATTAACGGTAGATCCTACTGCCATTGAAGTCAATGGTAAAACTCTCACTGAAGCCAGTGGGAACAGAACTGGGTCCTAGAAGAGGACAGGATAGATCAGCAAGCCTCAGAACAACATGACTCTTAAGTAGCTGATGGAGTTTTTCTAACATCACGTTTTCGCTGGGGCTCCCTGATTTTTATGTCTCTGCCATCTTCCCTCTCAGAAATAAACATACGTGGGTTGGTAAGATCCTGTAGTTGATCCAAACCCTATTTAGTCTTAACCTGATTCTGATTAACATAATGCTCAGTAATAACTGAGCCTACTTCAGCTACGGATGTAGTGCATGTAAAGCTTGCTATTGACTTCAGTGGGAGCTGGATTGAGCCTGGAAGAAGGAAACCGTAGCCAAGTCCTGTTTCGGGACCAGTGGTAAGTGCAGACACCAAAAAAGCTTGCATCTCGCTCCTGCATCTCTGGGTCAGGGGAAAGGTTGGAAATTAGATGCTATGTGAAGAGGACTGGCTTACGGACTATTGATTATTGCTTTTAGTCCTGATGGATTGTATTTTTGTTAAGCATTATTGTCCCAGTGGATTGCCTGCTTTTGTGCCTTTTATTGCTTTAAGAAACTAAGTTTTGCCAGGTCTCAGCCATGAGATTAAACTGGAGTTTTTATAAAACAGACCTGTGCCCTTGTGGTGTTTTGAGACTTTATCCCCTGTATGATCTTGGTGAATGTGATGAATGAATGCTTGTGTCTCCCTGTTTTGCTATCCAAGGGTACGTCTAGACTACATGCCTCTGTCGCCAGAGGCGTGTAGATTAGGCTACCAGACATAGTAAAATGAAGCGGCGATTTAAATAATCGCCGCTTCATTTAAATTTACATGGCTGCCACGCTGTTTGAGACTTTATCCCCTGTATGATCTTGGTGAATGTGATGAATGAATGCTTGTGTCTCCCTGTTTTGCTATCCAAGGGTACGTCTAGACTACATGCCTCTGTCGCCAGAGGCGTGTAGATTAGGCTACCAGACATAGTAAAATGAAGCGGCGATTTAAATAATCGCCGCTTCATTTAAATTTACATGGCTGCCACGCTGAGCCGACAAACA